AAAAGAAAAAAATGACCTTCACTGGGGCTTTGTACATTTTATATAGTTGAGTATATTAATAATATTAATATAAATATCAGCATAAATAAATCCTCATTACTTACCGATGCCAAAGTCAAACCTGAACCTGCAGGTGAGGGTCCTGGCTGTAGCGTCTCAGCAGATGAAGGCCCTGGCTGCTGCGCCACTGTACATGAGGGTCCTGGATGCACTGAGACAGGGAGCGAACTGGAAGGCTACAGGTTCACAGAGAAGATGAAAACAATTGTAATACTACAGAATTCAACACCAGCACGTCATAATTGAGACTTCTGATACCTTATTTGCACGGAAACCACAGTTACAGCTCTGTGCACCTCCAAACAGTGACTGTGCGTTCACACCGAACGCGCACAAAGAGGAAAATGATCCCGGAAGTCATTCACTGTGTATTGGGAGCCAGGCGGACAAAGAGGGAAAAGAGGAAATGGCGGAGGCGGGTGGACGAGGCGACTTAGGAGGATTGAAAAAGTTAAAAATCCTCCAACTTTATGTAAACGAGCTATGACGCGTCTAGGAGGGAAAGGCTGTTGTCGTCCCTCGGTCAGATCTGTCCCAGAGAACAACCCGCGTAACTTTAGTTCCTACCAAACATTCGTTCCAAGATGTCGCTGGAAATGCTGATTGCTGCCGTAGCAGAACACCTCTATGATGTCCTCTATGATTTGACAACATTACATGTGGCAAAATCAGTGTTTATTTGGGATGATCATTTCCGTAAATATGATTGGGGAGTAAGTAGGGGATAATGCCCGACGAGGTGTCCATTAACATAAATGAATGGACGACGCGGAGGCGTGGCGGTTGCTTCCGCGAAGTACCATGGTCACTTACGAAATAATGAAATATTTAATCAATGAATAATATTTTTTATTTGTACAAGTCGAGCGGACTATTTAATATCTCCCGTATGCAGGCGTTGCCAAGCAACGTGGCCATAGCGTCTTCATAGCGTCAACGTCTTTCCTAGGTGTAAATAAACACTTTTTAACCTACACCCTCCAGCCATTCTTTTTTTAACCTACACCCTCCAGCCACCCCTCCCTGAGCTACTACCTTACCGTGGTGGAGGGGTTTGCGTGTCCCAACCCCAGGAGCTCCGTTGTCGGGGGCTTGTAGCTTGTATGCCCCTGGTAGGGTCGCGATGTTGTTTTTCCCACTATGGCCACGCCAAGCACCGCCCCACCCTGCTCCTGATTGGTTGAGCTGTGCTCTCGACTCTAACATTGTTTACTGCGCCTGCTAACCCTAACCATAACCCTAACCATAACCCTAACCCATAACCCAAACCCTAACCCTAACTGTATCTTCAACACTTGTAAACTGAGCGGTCGTTGAGATTAAACAATCTTCTAGCTTGCTGGGCGCAGTAGAACCAATCAGGATAGAGTCGACAGCACAGCTCAACCAATCAGGAGCAGGGTGGGGCGGTGCTTGGCGTGGCCATAGTGGGATTCGTAATTTCGCGGTAGGGTCACCCATGGCAAACAGGTCCGAGGGGAGGGGCCAGACAAAGGGTAGCTCAGAAGACCCCTTATGACAACGAAAATAATTGGTCTTACGTGTCCCTCGCCCGGACGTGGGTCACCGCCCCCCCCCCCCCTGGAGCCAGGCCTGGGGGTGGGGCTCGGGGGCGAGCGCCTGGTGGCCGGGCCTATACCCATGGGGCCCGGCCGGGCACAGCCCGAAGCGAAGACGTGGGACCCCCTTCCCGCCGGCTCACCACCAGCAGGAGGGGCCAAAGGAGTCGGGTGCAGTGCGAGCTGGGCGGCGGCCGAAGGCGGGGACCTTGGCGGTCCGATCCTCGGCTGCAGAAGCTAGCTCTAGGGACGTGGAACGTCACCTCTCTGGTGGGGAAGGAGCCTGAGCTGGTGCGCGAGGTTGAGAAGTTCCGGCTAGATATAGTCGGCCTCACCTCGACGCATAGCAAGGGCTCTGGAACCAGTCTTCTCGGGGTTGGACTCTCTTCCATTTTGGGGTTGCCACTGGTGAGAGGCGCCGGGCAGGGGTGGCAATACTTATTGCCCCCCGGCTTGGTGCCTGTATGTTGGAGTTTACCCCGGTAGACGAGAGGGTAGCCTCCCTCCGCCTTCGGGTGGGGGGACGGATCCTGACTGTTGTTGTTGTGCCTATGGTCCAAACAGCAGTTCAGAGTATCCACCCTTTTTGGACTCCTTGGAGGGGGTGCTGGAAAGTGCTCCCTCTGGGGATTCCCTCGTTCTGCTGGGGGACTTCAACGCTCATGTTGGCAGCGACAGTGAGACCTGGAGGGGTGTGATTGGGAGGAACGGCCCCCCCGGATCTGAACCCGAGTGGTGTTCAGTTATTGGACTTCTGTGCTCGTCACAGATTGTCCATAACGAACACCATGTTCAAGCATAAGGGTATCCATATGTGCACTTGGCACCAGGACACCCTAGGCCGCAGTTCAATGATCGACTTTGTAGTCGTGTCGTCGGACTTGCAGCCGCATGTCTTGGACACTCGGGCGAAGAGAGGGGTGGAGCTGTCAACTGATCACCACCTGGTGGTGAGTTGGCCGCGATGGTGCGGGAGGATGTCGGTCAGACTTGGCAGACCCAAACGTATTGTGAGGGTCTGCTGGCAGAGTCTCCTGTCAGAGAGAGCTTCAACTCCCACCTCCGGGAGAGCTTTGACCATGTACTGGGGGAGGCGGGGGACATTGAGTCCGAGTAGGCCATGTTCCGCCCCTCCATTGTTGAGGCGGCCGACCGGAGCTGTGGCCGCAAAGTGGTCAGTGCCTGCCGTGGCGGCAATTCCCGAACCCGCTGGTGGACACCGGCGGTGAGGGATGGCGTCAGTGAATACTACCGGCAGACAGATTTAATTCGTACTGTAGCTTATTATTAACTGGTAGCAGTGCATATTCAAGACTTTTGTGACAACAGAAGTGAATAGTATACAGATTTCATTCGTACTGTTATGCTAAAGGTGATTATACCGATGTCGTACTGATAAGCAGTGCAGTGATAAAGTGTGTGTGGGGGGGGGGCAGTAGTTTCTGTTATCGTATTTATATCGTATGCAACCCTGGATGTATATTTAACACCAACCAAGCTAGATAGTTGACAGAATACAATGATATTAGCGATATATTTACCTTGTTTTGTGTAGGGAAAGACACCTGAAGTTCGGGATGGATTTTTGGAGAAGCACCATCGTGATTGGCTGTCAGAAAGATGGAAATGGTGGGCCGCGATTGGTCCGTCCCAGCAATTTTGGAGAAGGACCACTGTGATTGGCTGACGGCAAAGATGGAGAAAGATGGAAATGGGGCAACGTGATTGGAGGAGATTATACAGACGCTCGGTCCCCCGCTGCCGCTATTTCGGCACCGGAAAATAGCAAAAGTCAACAAAACAAATCACATTCAGGGAGAATATTTTGTTTTTTAAACTCTCCGTATGAGTTAATTATAACTATTTGTTCCTCCTGAGTGAAATACACCGCCCTTGTTCGCTCCGTCGGATCCATTTCGTCAAGGTGAATGACGTTGGGTTACGCCCTTTTTATGTGAACGCGCATTGAACCTAAAGCGGCAAACCTGGTTTGACTAACTGACTCGTAAGTGAGCTTCGTGGAACCGTTTAACTCTGATTGCGAGTTTCGTCTTTAGCAATCGAGGTTTTCCCAAGAAAGCCTGGATATGTTCAGCAAGCTTCGTAGTATACCCCCCTGAAGGACGTGAACCTTTCGGCATAGCTGTTGACTAACCTGCCCTGGATCGAACCAGGGACCTTTAGATCTTCAGTGTAATGCTCTCCCAACTGAGCTATTTCGGCACCAAAAGATAACAAAAGTCAACAAAACAAAAAACATTCAGGAGGTATAATTTGCTATAGTAAACAACAGGTTTAACGGCCTGCTTTGAAAATCAACACCTGAAGGACGTGAACCTTTCGGGATAGCTGTTGACTAACCTGCAGAAACCCGGGATGGATCCAGGGACCTTTAGATCTTCAGTCTACCGCTCTCCCAACTGAGCTATTTCAGCACCAAACAACATCAGAAGTCAACAAAACAAATCACATTCAGGCAGAATATTTCATGAAAACTTTTCAATGGGTTTAACAGCCTGCTTTAAATTCAGCACCTGAAGGATGTGAACCTTTCAGGATAGCTGTTGACTAACCTGCCGAAACCCGGGATCGAACCAGGGACCTTTAGATCTTCAGTCTAACGCTCTCCCAACTGAGCTATTTCGGCACCAGATGATAACAAAAGTCAACACAACAAATCACATTCAGCCAGTATATTTTGTAAAAATGTACAACAGGTTTAACAGCCTTCTTTGAAAATCAACACCTGAAGAACGTGAACCTTTCGGGATAGCTGTTGACTAACCTGGCGAAACCCAGGATCGAACCAGGGACCTTTAGATCTTCAGTCTAACGCTCTCCCAACTGAGCTATTTCGGCACAACACAACACCCAAATTCAACAAAACAAATCACATTCAGGCAGAATATTTTGTAAACCTTTTCAACAGGTTTAACAGCCTGCTTTGAAAATCAACATTTCAAGGTTGTGAATCGTTCAGGATAGCTGTTGACTAACCTGGCGAAACCCAGGATCGAACCAGGGACCTTTACATATTCAGTCTGACGCTCTCCCAACTGAGCTATTTCGGCACCGGAAGACAGCAAAAATCAACAAAACAAATCACATTCAGGGAGAATATTTTGTTAAACTTTTCAACAGATTTAACAGCCTGCTTTGAAAATCAACACCTGAAGGACGTGAAGATTTCGGGGTAGCTGTGGACTAACCTGCCGAAACCCTGGATTGAACCAGGGACCTTCAGATCTTCAGTCTAACGCTCTCCCAACTGAGATATTTCGGCACAAAAAGACACCAAAAGTCAACAAAACAAAACACATTAAGGAAGTATAATTTGTTACATTAACCAACTGGTTTAACGGCCTGCTTTAAGATTCAGCACCTGAAGGATGTGAACCTTTCAGGAAAGCTGAAGCCTTTAGATCTTCAGTCTAACGCTCTCCCAACTGAGCTATTTCGGCACCGGAAGACGGCAAAAGTAAACAAAACAAATCACATTCAGGCAGAATATCTTGTAAAACTTTTCAACAGCCTGCTTTGAAAATGAACATCTGAAGGATGTGAACTGTTCAGGATAGCTGTTGACTAACCTGCCGAAACCCAGGATCGAACAAGGGACCTTTAGATTTTCAGTCTAACGCTCTCCCAACTGAGCTATTTCGGCACCGGAAGAAAGCAAAAGTCAACAAAACAAATCACATTCAGGCAGAATATTTTGTAAAAATTTTCAACAGGTTTAACAGCCTGCTTTGAAAATCTACACCTGAAGGACGTGAACCTTTCAGGATGGCTGTTGACTAACCTGACGTAACCGAGGATCGAACCAGGGACCTTTAGATCTTCAGTCTAACGCTCTGCCATCTGAGCAATTTAGGCACCGAACACCAACAAAAGTCAACACAACAAATCACATTCAGCCAGTATATTTTGTAAAAATGTACAACAGGTTTAACAGCCTTCTTTGAAAATCTACACCTGAAGGATGTGAACCTTTCCGGATAGCTGTTGACTAACCTGCCGAAACACGGGATCGAACCAGGGACCTTCAGATCTTCAGTCTAACGCTCTCCCAACTGAGCTATTTCGGCACCAAATGATAACAAAAGTCAACACAACAAATCACATTCAGCCAGTATATTTTGTAAAACTTTTCAACAGGTGTAACAGCCTGCTTTGAAAATCAACACCTGAAGGACGTGAAGATTTCAGGATAGCTGTGGACTAACCTGCCGAAACCCGGGATCGAACCAGGGACCTTTAGATCTTCAGTCTAACGCTCTCCCAATTGAGCTATTTCGGCACCGGAAGACGGCAAAAGTAAACAAAACAAATCACATTCAGGCAGAATATCTTGTAAAACTTTTCAACAGCCTGCTTTGAAAATGAACATCTGAAGGATGTGAACTGTTCAGGATAGCTGTTGACTAACCTGCCGAAACCCAGGATCGAACAAGGGACCTTTAGATTTTCAGTCTAACGCTCTCCCAACTGAGCTATTTCGGCACCGGAAGAAAGCAAAAGTCAACAAAACAAATCACATTCAGGCAGAATATTTTGTAAAAATTTTCAACAGGTTTAACAGCCTGCTTTGAAAATCTACACCTGAAGGACGTGAACCTTTCAGGATGGCTGTTGACTAACCTGACGTAACCCAGGATCGAACCAGGGACCTTTAGATCTTCAGTCTAACGCTCTGCCATCTGAGCAATTTAGGCACCGAACACCAACAAAAGTCAACACAACAAATCACATTCAGCCAGTATATTTTGTAAAAATGTACAACAGGTTTAACAGCCTTCTTTGAAAATCTACACCTGAAGGATGTGAACCTTTCCGGATAGCTGTTGACTAACCTGCCGAAACCCGGGATCGAACCAGGGACCTTTAGATCTTCAGTCTAACGCTCTCCCAACTGAGCTATTTCGGCACCAAAGGATAACAAAAGTCAACACAACAAATCACATTCAGCCAGTATATTTTGTAAAACTTTTCAACAGGTGTAACAGCCTGCTTTGAAAATCAACACCTGAAGGACGTGAAGATTTCAGGATAGCTGTGGACTAACCTGCCGAAACCCGGGATCGAACCAGGGACCTTTAGATCTTCAGTCTAACGCTCTCCCAACTGAGCTATTTCGGCACCAAATGATAACAAAAGTCAACACAACAAATCACATTCAGCCAGTATATTTTGTAAAACTTTTCAACAGGTGTAACAGCCTGCTTTGAAAATCAACACCTGAAGGACGTGAAGATTTCAGGATAGCTGTGGACTAACCTGCCGAAACCCGGGATCGAACCAGGGACCTTTAGATCTTCAGTCTAACGCTCTCCCAACTGAGCTATTTCGGCACCAAATGATAACAAAAGTCAACACAACAAATCACATTCAGCCAGTATATTTTGTAAAACCTTTCAACAGGTTTAACAGCCTGCTTTGAAAATCAACATTTCAAGGTTGTGAATCGTTCAGGATAGCTGTTGACTAACCTGGCGAAACCCAGGATCGAACCAGGGACCTTTACATATTCAGTCTGACGCTCTCCCAACTGAGCTATTTCGGCACCGGAAGACAGCAAAAATCAACAAAACAAATCACATTCAGGGAGAATATTTTGTTAAACTTTTCAACAGATTTAACAGCCTGCTTTGAAAATCAACACCTGAAGGACGTGAAGATTTCGGGGTAGCTGTGGACTAACCTGCCGAAACCCGGGATTGCACCAGGGACCTTTAGATCTTCAGTCTAACGCTCTCCCAACTGAGCTATTTCGGCACAAAAAGACACCAAAAGTCAACAAAACAAAACACATTAAGGAAGTATAATTTGTTACATTAACCAACTGGTTTAACGGCCTGCTTTAAGATTCAGCACCTGAAGGATGTGAACCTTTCAGGAAAGCTGAAGCCTTTAGATCTTCAGTCTAACGCTCTCCCAACTGAGCTATTTCGGCACCGGAAGACGGCAAAAGTAAACAAAACAAATCACATTCAGGCAGAATATCTTGTAAAACTTTTCAACAGCCTGCTTTGAAAATGAACATCTGAAGGATGTGAACTGTTCAGGATAGCTGTTGACTAACCTGCCGAAACCCGGGATCGAACAAGGGACCTTTAGATTTTCAGTCTAACGCTCTCCCAACTGAGCTATTTCGGCACCGGAAGAAAGCAAAAGTCAACAAAACAAATCACATTCAGGCAGAATATTTTGTAAAAATTTTCAACAGGTTTAACAGCCTGCTTTGAAAATCTACACCTGAAGGACGTGAACCTTTCAGGATGGCTGTTGACTAACCTGACGTAACCCAGGATCGAACCAGGGACCTTTAGATCTTCAGTCTAACGCTCTGCCATCTGAGCAATTTAGGCACCGAACACCAACAAAAGTCAACACAACAAATCACATTCAGCCAGTATATTTTGTAAAAATGTACAACAGGTTTAACAGCCTTCTTTGAAAATCTACACCTGAAGGATGTGAACCTTTCCGGATAGCTGTTGACTAACCTGCCGAAACCCGGGATCGAACCAGGGACCTTTAGATCTTCAGTCTAACGCTCTCCCAACTGAGCTATTTCGGCACCAAATGATAACAAAAGTCAACACAACAAATCACATGCAGCCAGTATATTTTGTAAAACTTTTCAACAGGTGTAACAGCCTGCTTTGAAAATCAACACCTGAAGGACGTGAAGATTTCAGGATAGCTGTGGACTAACCTGCCGAAACCCGGGATCGAACCAGGGACCTTTAGATCTTCAGTCTAACGCTCTCCCAACTGAGCTATTTCGGCACCAAATGATAACAAAAGTCAACACAACAAATCACATTCAGCCAGTATATTTTGTAAAAATGTCCAACAGGTTTAACAGCCTTCTTTGAAAATCAACACCTGAAGGATGTGAACCTTTCCGGATAGCTGTTGACTACCCTGCCGAAACCCGGGATCGAACCAGGGACCTTTAGATCTTCAGTCTAACACTCTCCCAACTGAGCTATTTCGGCACCAGATGACAACAAAAGTCAACACAACAAATCACATTCAGCCAGTATATTTTGTAAAAATGTACAACAGGTTTAACAGCCTTCTTTGAAAATCTACACCTGAAGGATGTGAACCTTTCCGGATAGCTGTTGACTACCCTGCCGAAACCCGGGATCGAACCAGGGACCTTTAGATCTTCAGTCTAACGCTCTCCCAACTGAGCTATTTCGGCACCAGCTGATAACTAAAGTCAACACAACAAATCACATTCAGCCAGTATATTTTGTAAAAATGTACAACAGGTTTAACAGCCTTCTTTGAAAATCTACACCTGAAGGATGTGAACCTTTCCGGATAGCTGTTGACTAACCTGCCGAAACCCGGGATCGAACCGGGGACCTTTAGATCTTCAGTCTAACGCTCTCCCAACTGAGCTATTTCGGCACAAATGATAACAAAAGTCAACACAACAAATCACATTCAGCCAGTATATTTTGTAAAAATGTACAACAGGTTTAACAGCCTTCTTTGAAAATCAACACCTGAAGGATGTGAACCTTTCCGGGTAGCTGTTGACTAACCTGCCGAAACCCGGGACCGAACCAGGGACCTTTAGATCTTCAGTCTAACGCTCTCCCAAATGAGCTATTTCGGCACCAGATGATAACAAAAGTCAACACAACAAATCACATTCAGCCAGTATATTTTGTAAAACTTTTCAACAGGTGTAACAGCCTGCTTTGAAAATCAACACCTGAAGGACGTGAAGATTTCAGGATAGCTGTGGACTAACCTGCCGAAACCCGGGATCGAACCAGGGACCTTTAGATCTTCAGTCTAACGCTCTCCCAACTGAGCTATTTCGGCACCAAATGATAACAAAAGTCAACACAACAAATCACATTCAGTCAGTATATTTTGTAAAAATGTACAACAGGTTTAACAGCCTTCTTTGAAAATCAACACCTGAAGGATGTGAACCTTTCCGCATAGCTGTTGACTAACCTGCCGAAACCCGGGATCGAACCAGGGACCTTTAGATCTTCAGTCTAACGCTCTCCCAACTGAGCTATTTCGGCACCAAATGATAACAAAAGTCAACACAACAAATCACATTCAGCCAGTATATTTTGTAAACATGTACAACAGGTTTAACAGCCTTCTTTGAAAATCAACACCTGAAGAACGTGAACCTTTCGGGATAGCTGTTGATTAACCTGGCGAAACCCAGGATCGAACCAGGGACCTTTACATATTCAGTCTAACGCTCTCCCAACTGAGCTATTTCGGCACCGGAAGACAGCAAAAATCAACAAAACATATCACATTCAGGGAGAATATTTTGTTAAACTTTTCAACAGATTTAACAGCCTGCTTTGAAAATCAACACCTGAAGGACGTGAAGATTTCGGGGTAGCTGTGGACTAACCTGCCGAAACCCGGGATTGCACCAGGGACCTTTAGATCTTCAGTCTAACGCTCTCCCAACTGAGCTATTTCGGCACAAAAAGACACCAAAAGTCAACAAAACAAAACACATTAAGGAAGTATAATTTGTTACATTAACCAACTGGTTTAACGGCCTGCTTTAAGATTCAGCACCTGAAGGATGTGAACCTTTCAGGAAAGCTGTTGACTACCCTGCCGAAACCAGGATCGAACCTGGGACCTTTAGATCTTCAGTCTAACGCTCTCCCAACTGAGCTATTTCGGCACCGGAAGACCGCAAAAGTAAACAAAACAAATCACATTCAGGCAGAATATCTTGTAAAACTTTTCAACAGCCTGCTTTGAAAATGAACATCTGAAGGATGTGAACCGTTCAGGATAGCTGTTGACTAACCTGCCGAAACCCGGGATCGAACAAGGGACCTTTAGATCTTCAGTCTAACGCTCTCCCAACTGAGCTATTTCGGCACCGGAAGAAAGCAAAAGTCAACAAAACAAATCACATTCAGGCAGAATATTTTGTAAAAATTTTCAACAGGTTTAACAGCCTGCTTTGAAAATCTACACCTGAAGGACGTGAACCTTTCAGGATAGCTGTTGACTAACCTGACGTAACCCAGGATCGAACCAGGGACCTTTAGATCTTCAGTCTAACGCTCTGCCATCTGAGCAATTTAGGCACCGAACACCAACAAAAGTCAACAAAACAAATCACATTCAGGCAGAATATTTTGTAAAACTTTTCAACAGGTTTAACAGCCTGCTTTGAAAATGAACATCTGAAGGATGTGAACCGTTCAGGATAGCTGTTGACTAACCTGCTGAACCCGGGGATCGAACAAGGGACCTTTAGATCTTCAGTCTAACGCTCTCCCAACTGAGCTATTTCGGCACCGGAAGAAAGCAAAAGTCAACAAAACAAATCACATTCAGGCAGAATATTTTATAAAAATGTTCAACAGGTTTAACAGCCTGCTTTGAAAATCTACACCTGAAGGACGTGAACCTTTCAGGATAGCTGTTGACTAACCTGACGTAACCCAGGATCGAACCAGGGACCTTTAGATCTTCAGTCTAACGCTCTGCCATCTGAGCAATTTAGGCACCGAACACCAACAAAAGTCAACAAAACAAATCACATTCAGGCAGAATATTTTGTAAAACTTTTCAACAGGTGTAACAGCCTGCTTTGAAAATCAACATCGGAAGGATGTGAACCGTTCAGGATAGCTGTTCACTAACCTGCCGAAACCCGGGATCGAACCAGGGACCTTTAGATCTTCAGTCTAACGCTCTCCCAACTGAGCTATTTCGGCACCAAATGATAACAAAAGTCAACACAACAAATCACATTCAGCCAGTATATTTTGTAAAAATGTACAACAGGTTTAACAGCCTTCTTTGAAAATCAACACCTGAAGGATGTGAACCTTTCCGGATAGCTGTTGACGAACCTGCCGAAACCCGGGATCGAACCAGGGACCTTTAGATCTTCAGTCTAACGCTCTCCCAACTGAGCTATTTCGGCACCAGCTGATAACAAAAGTCAACACAACAAATCACATTCAGCCAGTATATTTTGTAAAAATGTACAACAGGTTTAACAGCCTTCTTTGAAAATCTACACCTGAAGGATGTGAACCTTTCCGGATAGCTGTTGACTAACCTGCCGAAACCCGGGATCGAACCAGGGACCTTTAGATCTTCAGTCTAACGCTCTCCCAACTGAGCTATTTCGGCACCAAATGTTAACAAAAGTCAACACAACAAATCACATTCAGCCAGTATATTTTGTAAAAATGTACAACAGGTTTAACAGCCTTCTTTGAAAATCAACACCTGAAGGATGTGAACCTTTCCGGATAGCTGTTGACTAACCTGCCGAAACCCGGGACCGAACCAGGGACCTTTAGATCTTCAGTCTAACGCTCTCCCAAATGAGCTATTTCGGCACCAGATGATAACAAAAGTCAACACAACAAATCACATTCAGCCAGTATATTTTGTAAAACTTTTCAACAGGTGTAACAGCCTGCTTTGAAAATCAACACCTGAAGGACGTGAAGATTTCAGGATAGCTGTGGACTAACCTGCCGAAACCCGGGATCGAAACAGGGACCTTTAGATCTTCAGGCTAACGCTCTCCCAACTGAGCTATTTCGGCACCAAATGATAACAAAAGTCAACACAACAAATCACATTCAGTCAGTATATTTTGTAAAAATGTACAACAGGTTTAACAGCCTTCTTTGAAAATCAACACCTGAAGGATGTGAACCTTTCCGCATAGCTGTTGACTAACCTGCCGAAACCCTGGATCGAACCAGGGACCTTTAGATCTTCAGTCTAACGCTCTCCCAACTGAGCTATTTTGGCACCGGAAGACAGCAAAAGTCAACAAAACAGAATATTTTGTAAACATTTCCAACAGATTTAACAACCTGCTTTGAAAATCAACACCTGAAGGACGTGAAGATTTCAGGATAGCTGTGGACTAACCTGCCGAAACCCGGGATCGAACCAGGGACCTTTAGATCTTCAGTCTAACGCTCTCCCAACTGAGCTATTTCGGCACCAAATGATAACAAAAGTCAACACAACAAATCACATTCAGCCAGTATATTTTGTAAAAATGTACAACAGGTTTAACAGCCTTCTTTGAAAATCAACACCTGAAGGATGTGAACCTTTCCGGATAGCTGTTGACTAACCTGCCGAAACCCGGGATCGAACCAGGGACCTTTAGATCTTCAGTCTAACGCTCTCCCAACTGAGCTATTTCGGCACCGGAAGAAAGCAAAAGTCAACAAAACAAATCACATTCAGGCAGAATATTTTGTAAAAATTTTCAACAGGTTTAACAGCCTGCTTTGAAAATCTACACCTGAAGGACGTGAACCTTTCAGGATAGCTGTTGACTAACCTGACGTAACCCAGGATCGAACCAGGGACCTTTAGATCTTCAGTCTAACGCTCTGCCATCTGAGCAATTTAGGCACCGAACACCAACAAAAGTCAACAAAACAAATCACATTCAGGCAGAATATTTTGTAAAACTTTTCAACAGGTGTAACAGCCTGCTTTGAAAATCAACATCGGAAGGATGTGAACCGCTCAGGATAGCTGTTCACTAACCTGCCGAAACCCGGGATCGAACCAGGGACCTTTAGATCTTCAGTCTAACGCTCTCCCAACTGAGCTATTTCGGCACCAGATGATAGCAAAAGTCAGCACACAAATCAGATCTAGATGGGGGTAAAAGGCGTGATGATGGACAGGCAAGATATGAACCCCAGTCGCTGGCGTTCAGCTCACATCCTAATCCACCACACCACCGTCGCTACCAGCCAGCACATGCAATACGTTTCTTACATAGGATGTATTTGAAAGGAATTCCCTAAATTACACAAAAAAGCAAGTTGGAGGTTGCTTTTGCATTTTGCAATCATATGCGTAAGAATTGTTCGCCATTAATCCCAATAGAGTATTGGGATTAATGGCGAACAATTCTTACGCATTCACAGAATCTGCTGTTTTTTGCCAGCATGGGCAACTGTATCGCCCCTTGCCGTTATTTGCTTTTTAAACTCCTCGTATGAGTTCATAATCACTACTTGCTCCTCCTAAGTGACATACACAGCCCGTGTTCGCTCCGTCGGATCCATTGCGTCAAGGTGAATGACGTTGGGTTACGCCCTTTTTATGTGAACGCGCATTGAACCTAAAGCGGAAAACCTGGCTTGACAAATTTACCTTTAAGTGAGCTTCGTGGAACCGTTTACCTCTGATCGCGAGTTTCGTCTTTAGCAATCGAGGTTTTCCCAAGAAAACCTGGATATGTTCAGCGAGCTTCGTAGTATACCCCCCTGAAGGACGTGAACCTTTCGGGATAGCTGTTGACTAACCTGACGTAGCCCAGGATCGAACCAGGGACCTTTAAATCTTCAGTCTAACGCTCTGCCATCTGAGCAATTTAGGCACCGAACACCAACAAAAGTCAACAAAACAAATCACATTCAGGCAGAATATTTTGTAAAACTTTTCAACAGGTTTAACAGCCTGCTTTGAAAATGAACATCTGAAGGATGTGAACCGTTGAGGATAGCTGTTGACTAACCTGCTGAACCCGGGGATCGAACAAGGGACCTTTAGATCTTCAGTCTAACGCTCTCCCAACTGAGCTATTTCGGCACCGGAAGAAAGCAAAAGTCAACAAAACAAATCACATTCAGGCAGAATATTTTGTAAAAATTTTCAACAGGTTTAACAGCCTGCTTTGAAAATCTACACCTGAAGGACGTGAACCTTTCAGGATAGCTGTTGACTAACCTGACGTAACCCAGGATCGAACCAGGGACCTTTAGATCTTCAGTCTAACGCTCTGCCATCTGAGCAATTTAGGCACCGAACACCAACAAAAGTCAACAAAACAAATCACATTCAGGCAGAATATTTTGTAAAACTTTTCAACAGGTGTAACAGCCTGCTTTGAAAATCAACATCGGAAGGATGTGAACCGTTCAGGATAGCTGTTCACTAACCTGCCGAAACCCGGGATCGAACCAGGGACCTTTAGATCTTCAGTCTAACGCTCTCCCAACTGAGCTATTTCGGCACCAAATGATAACAAAAGTCAACACAACAAATCACATTCAGCCAGTATATTTTGTAAAAATGTACAACAGGTTTAACAGCCTTCTTTGAAAATCAACACCTGAAGGATGTGAACCTTTCCGGATAGCTGTTGACTAACCTGCCGAAACCCGGGATCGAACCAGGGACCTTTAGATCTTCAGTCTAACGCTCTCGGAACTGAGCTATTTCGGCACCAGCTGATAACAAAAGTCAACACAACAAATCACATTCAGCCAGTATATTTTGTAAAAATGTACAACAGGTTTAACAGCCTTCTTTGAAAATCTACACCTGAAGGATGTGAACCTTTCCGGATAGCTGTTGACTAACCTGCCGAAACCCAGGATCGAACCAGGGACCTTTAGATCTTCAGTCTAACGCTCTCCCAACTGAGCTATTTCGGCACCAAATGATAACAAAAGTCAACACAACAAATCACATTCAGCCAGTATATTTTGTAAAAATGTACAACAGGTTTAACAGCCTTCTTTGAAAATCAACACCTGAAGGATGTGAACCTTTCCGGGTAGCTGTTGACTAACCTGCCGAAACCCGGGACCGAACCAGGGACCTTTAGATCTTCAGTCTAACGCTCTCCCAAATGAGCTATTTCGGCACCAGATGATAACA